TGCCTCAGTCTGGTTCCAGATTCATATCCTTCACAATGTTCCACCTGCACTGTGACATCTTACCAATACCTCCTTTGGCACAGAGGTGAAATAATTCTCAAAGGCTGTATCAGTAGAGAACAGGTCCTACTTACACAGATGTAAAAGGCTTAAGAATGTAGTCAGTTATTGTTCAGTTGTTTTTCAGTCTTGTCTGACTCTTCATGACCCCATCTCTTGGCAGAGATACTGGAGTGGTTTGCCCTTTCCTTCTCCAGCTCATTTTACAGATGAGAAAACTGAGGCAACAAGGTTAAGTGACTTGCCCAGGGACACACAGCTAGTAAATGTCTGAGGCCAGATTTGAACTCAGGAAGATGAGTCTTTCTGACTCTAGGCACTCCATCCATTTCACTACCTAGCTGCCTAAGAATGTAGACCCAATGAGAATAATAATAATTATTATTATTATTACTACTACTACTACTACTAATAATAATAATATTTATATAGTGCTTACTATGTGCCAGACACTGTGCTAAACACTTTATAATCATCTCATTTGATAAACTTTGTTGTCAAAGAACCAACCTACCTAATTTGAAAATGTTTATCACCAGTTCAGCTACAAGACAATGAATATTTCAGCTGCAGTAAGTCCTGAAGATAATGTACTACTAGAAAAATTTTGATCTGTGTTATTGGAAGAAGTATGTATATGAAGAAAAATCACAAATCTTTGTAGATTTGGATGGGTATAAGGAGTAGTTACAATCCCATGGCATTCTGACTCTGCTTCTTATTTCTCTTCAGACCAAAACAAATGGAGGTAATTTTTATGTGATATGAATCTTTTTTCCTCCTTCTACTACTGAGATTAATGGCAATGATTTTAACATTTAAAAAGTTTGACTTTCACCACCACTTAAAAAGTTTTAACAGCAAAGATGCTGCTAAGGTATTTCCTCTCAGTGTGTTTTGTTGGCTTTTGCTGAGTTATATGAGAAAAGGAGTTGGGGAAAAAGAGAACCAATTGCAGCTCTCTAGTTTTATCTGACTCATCAAAGCCACAAATAGTGTTTTTCCTGTCTTTTTAAGGGCACTTGTATATAAACACACAAGTAGATATAAGAATAATACTAACCACTCACATTAGAAAATTTTTTACATCATGGTCATTTCCAATTAACCCCCCCCACACACACTGTACTTTCTTTATACCAAAGAAAAACAATTAAAACCAATTGATATATGGCAGTATCTGATAGCACATGTGAATTTCACACCCATTGTTCCACTTCTCCAAGAAAAGGAAGGAGGTACATTTTTTCATTTCTTCTCTACAGTCACAAATGGTCACCACATTCACAGATTTCACTTCAAATGAATTTTTAGTGTTCTTTACTATAATCACTGTATATTATTTTCTTGGTTCTCATTTAGCTCTGCATCAGTTCATGCAAGTCTTCCCATGTTTCTCTGAATCATTTATTTTTTAATAATATTCTATTATGTTAATATGCCCTAATTTGTTTAATTCCTCCCCAGTTGATAGATACTCTCTTTGTTTTCAGTTTTGGGGTACCACAAAATGCTTCTGTGAATATTTTGGCATATATATGTGTGGATACACATATATACATACATAAATACACACATACATATATCAGGTGTGCTCTGGCCCAGTATACCAGTACCAACCAGTCTGACTACATCTGCCCCATCAAGGTTCTGGGGGTAACTGAAGGGTATTAGGGAGTTTCTTCTTATTCCTTCATCTTGAGCCTATACCAATTCTCTTACTCTTTGGTGCCGGTGACTAGCACTCTAGTTCTGTTTATCAACTTTACATCAATTAACTTTTACAAAGGGATATTTATTTCAAAGATAAAGCAAGAACAAAAGTACAAATGTTTCTCCCCAAACCCACACACTCTCCCCTACCCCACCTCAATCTTTAGGGAGTGAGTTTAGATTTAGCACAGTTTCTACATAGCATTAACTCCACCAACTTCATGTTCAAAAGCAACATCTCTCAGATGAATACTTGTCTCAGCTACCCTTGCATTATCATTCCTAATAGTAATATCTAGCATTGACATAGTGCTCTAAGGTTTGCAAAGCATTTTACAAATGTTATCTCATTTTATCCTCACAACAACCCTGTGACGTAGGTGCTATTGTTATCCCCATTTTAAAGATGAGGAAACTAAGGCACGGCCGAAATTAAATGACTTGCCTAAGATAACACAGCTAATAAGGGTCTGAGATCAGATCTGAGCTCAGGTCTTTCTGATTCCAGGTCCAGCATTCTACTTACTGTGTCATCTAACTGTGTGATGCAGTAAGCAGAGTACTGGATCTGGAGTCCAACTTCAGAAGTGGCTCTTGAAGGTCACTCCTTGCTTTTCAGGGCATCAATGCTGGGATGGCAATAAAATCCAGACCCTGGGATGCTGTTCTCCTGACTTTTCAAAATCCACAAAATCAGTCTCAAATCCCTTCATCTAAAATAGAAAAGAACATAATGCAGAGGCAAAGAGACTGACCATCTATCAGACTCATCAGGGAGAAAGTCCCAGGCCATTCTCCTTACAAGTGTCAAACTCAGAAAAGGGGCCATTACATCATACATAAAGATCCCAATAGGCTACATATTGACCTAGAAAACCACATATTAACATTATTTGTTTCTTAAATATTCTGATGCACTGAGCCAACTGGCTGTATGTCTGACACCTCTGCCTTACAGCAGCATTGTCTCTTTCTTTTTTTTGCAAGGCATTTGGGGTTGACTTGCCCAGAGCCACACAGCTGGTTAAGTGTTATGTGTCTGAGGCCACATTTGAACTCAGGTCCTCCTGAATCTAGGGCCGGTGCTCTGTCCACTGAGCCACCTAGCTGCCACTACAGCATTGTCTCTTGGCAAATGCTGTTGGTCAAGAGTCAATCCAAGATCAGGTAGCTAAAAAGCAAAAATATTCAGTCGAGGCTCAAGTCACTAGAGCCGTTTCTAAGACATCCACATTTCTGACCACATAACCAATCAGAAAGGCTTCATCTAAATATATGGTTAGCAACAGGATCCAGTTACAGAATGCCTATACATAATCAAGTCTCACCTAGAGGTTTTCATTACACATCATCACAACTCTCCGGGAGGTAAGTTCTCCAAGTCCTTTACTGTTGGAAGTGTTCTGCATACATGCCAGTTCCATTACATATAATATTAGTAGCTCCCACTTACAAAGTACTTTAAGGTTTACTAAGCACTTTGCTCATAAGAAGTATCCAATAGTGAGTGCTTAACTTAAAGAGTTAGGTTGGGACCTGGGCTCAGAATTTACCTCTGATACATATTAGCCATGTAGCATTGCACAAATCATTCTCTCTGAACCTCCCTTGTGAAAAAGAAAAGCAATACCTACACTGCAACATCAGAAGGTTGGGAAGATCACAACATAATATTTCATAAATCAGATGTCACCCATCTCTCTTATTCCCAGTATTCAAGGTTGAAATTGGTATGGCTGGAAACTTGGGAACAACAGAGAGAAAAGAAGTCTGTCATTAGCTTTTAAGAGGTCAATCATGCAGCCCCTCCTTAACCCAACCTGAACTCAGTAAAAGCTTCCCACCGTAGAATCCCGTGGTACTTTAAGTTCTAGGGGTGTAGTCTCAAGCCCACACGTGGCCCTCTAGGTCCTCAAGTGCAGCCCTTTGACTGAATCCAAACTTCACACAATAAATCCCCTTAATAAAAGGATTTGTTTTGACCCTTGGTCAGATCTAGACTGTACTAATACAGTACTTAAGTCCTTCAGTAATTTTTAACTTTGAGTACTTAGACTTCAAGACGAAGATCAGCTCCTCCCAAAGTGAAACAGAAAGTTGCCACTCCCTAGAATCCATACATATATTTCCATCTCTTTTGAAGCTTTCTTACTCAGTCGAGGAGAGAAGAATGAAGTTGACTTGATCCCCCAGCCCCTTAGGTAGGTATCAGGGGGTACTGGGACAAGGGTGGGGGGCATCAGAAGTGTGATTACTCTAGTCACTAACTGAATGGGTGGAGGGACAGGGGAGCTTGGAGTAAATTATCTTCACCACCAAAAGAAAAGGGGGAGAGAAGAAAGGAAAGAGAAGTGGGAGCAGGGAAGCAGAACACCCAGCAAAGGCCTGGACTCAGTCCCAACTTTGGCTGGTCTGGGAGATCCCCGGGGAGGCTGTGGCAGAGCAGAAAGAATCAGCAGACTGGGATTTGATGTAAGAAGAGGAGGTGAGGGGGGGACGGGGGGAAGGGATCTCCTAGGGACCCAGGATCACCCTCTGTACAGATTTCCAAGCGAGGGTGGCAAGCCTGGAGCTCGGGGACCGCCGGAGCGCGTCGCTCGGACCAGCCGGCCTGGGCTCGCTCTCCCCGGTGCCCCGGGCCCCCGGCGGCCGGTCCGCGCACGCTTTGTTCTCTACTCTATACACGAGGGGGGTGGGCTGGTCAGGTAACAGAGAGGTGGGGTCCGGCTCCGAAGTACCCGGCTTGCTCCTCGCTCTCTGGGGCGCGTCGGACGAGTCAGCCCCCGCTCGGGCTTCAGTTTCCCAGCCTGGGAGGCCCCAAGAGCTCCCATCCGCGTGATGCGGGACACTTCCTCACAATCTCCGTTTAAAGCTCTCTGACATGGAGCTGAGAGGGAACTTTGCACGCACTTTACAGATAGGCAAATAGAGATGCGGGGAAGAGCCCTAGGCCCGAGAAAAGCCCCAGTCCGAAGCCTTTGTCCCCGCGGCCCAGGGAAGCATCCTAACAGACCCCCGGCGTCCCGCCAAGGCCCCGCTAGGGGGCTGCAGAGACCCGGGACAGGCAGCCTAGCTCCATTCCAAAGACCAGTTCCGGGAGAAGGCGGGATTTCCGGTTCCCGACAGGGCCGGCGATTCACTTCCGTTTCCGGCCATAAGGCTAGTGAGGTGCTGGCGAGAGGATGGAGGGTCTGGTTGCTCAGTGTTCGGCGCGGCTTTTGCAGCAGGTCAGGCCCGGGCTCAAGTGGGGCGGAGGAGGGGGAAGACGACGTGGCCAAGGAAGTTAGCCCGACCGCGGAGTGGACGTGACTGGCCCGGGGCTGCCCCGCAGGAGCCGGACCGAGACTGGGCCGCGGACAGGGGGAGGGTCTCCGACTGCTGGTGGGACGAGCATGGAGGCAACTGGACCCTTCCTCCGCCGGGGCGAGGGCGGGGGCGGGAAGCAGAGGGGTGTGGACTTCTAGGAGAGCTCCTGGCCTGGGATCTTTTTTTTATTAACTTGGATACTTGGATATTTTCTTCCCGAGATCCCTCCTTCACAGTCAGTTTCAGAAGGCCTGGGTCCGGCCCGGGAGAGAGGACGCTGTTTTGGGGATGAGGTACCTCCCTGAACGTCTGAGGGTTCCCAGGAATACCTCAGCCTCCGGATTCTTGTCCTCCACTCCTGGGGAATCGGCCTATCTCCAGTTTTAGGTGTTAGAGTTTATTAGAAAAACAAAAAAAAAGACAAAATTGGTGCTGGGGAAGGGAGAGCAGGGGCTCGGAAATGGAGGTGATCCTGGCCGCGGCGGGGGCGGGGGCGGAGGCACTGAAGGAGAGCAAGCGTGCCTTGAGCCGTAGTCGGAGCCTGCTTCGTAGGATAGAGAGAGTAGGACCAGTGATCAGTTCCAGCGTTGTGGAGAACCCTAAAATTGAACTCACTGAATACTAGACTGGCACTGAGGAGAAATGAAACTGTTGTGGTCTGAGCTCTGTGACACCCGTGTTTTATTGACGCTTTAATGGACCTGTCTCCCTCCATATGGGAGCTCTCAATATGGACTCTCCTCTGTGCAGATCGAAACTGTTTGGACTATGCTTATGGCCATATGTAATACAAGTGGAGCCCAACACACTTCCTCACAAAGTTCATAGTTCATTTTAACTATAATTCATCAGAAAAGTAGCCCAAAAAAGGAAAATCACCAAAAGCCCATGAGGAAGGGTGGGGAAGAGATGATCCTATCCTTTTATCTGAGCTAAGTAATTTGGGGGCTGATACTATGCTGTTAGCTCTCACCAGCAACTTTCTTCCAATTTGGCTAAATCATTGCCCATCTACTTTTAAGTGGTGTTCCCCCCCCCAAAAAATACAGTATCCCAGCGTATCTAATCTGAATATAAATAAAGAATAAAATCATTAGACCAAACTAAAGTAGCTGATAAAGTTGTTCTGAAGATCTTGCCCTTTTTTTTTCCTTCCTAGGAGAAAGAGATTAAGTTTCTGACTGCTGAAATTGACAGATTGAAAAACTTTGGAAGTATAGGAGTTTCTCCTAATTTGGAGCAGTTGAGAGAAGAAAATTCAAAACTTAAATATCGCCTGAAGGTGCTCCAAAAGGTGAGTAAGCCTCTGCTCTGTCAATAGATTCAGGGGTTTATTCTCAGATCTACACTTTTAAGATTCATAAAAGATTTTGGAAGCACAACCGATGGCATTTGAAAAGGAGAGGAATAAAATGTCTCCTTTTCTCCAGCAGTCTAACAAGTTACTACTGGTCTCCTAATTAGGGCAAACAAAACAAAAGCTTTGTCTCATGCTTAGTGTCTTTTTATGGTTCTTTGAAGTGTCTCATTAAAATGTTTTTGTCAGCTAAGCATGCCTTTGTTGTAGCAGTGGTATAATTACTGAATTGAATACATTTTTTAAAAGCACATTTAAGATTAAATTAAGATAACAATAGGCTTAAGCCTTCAAGTACCAGGTAGTTTATTGGACCTGAATCAGAGGAGGTAACAGTGAGAGAGGGTACTTCTCCAAACTCAGTCCCAGGCACTGATTACAGTTCCAGTGCCCTAGCCAGTTCTAAAATGAAGTAATATACATATGTGTAGTTATAAGTTATATACAGTTATAAAAAATGAAGTTATCAAATACTTTTGGGAATCAGATCTGCTTTTTGGTCCCAGCTCTACCCCTTAACTATACCTATATGGCATTAGGCAGTTCATTTGAGGCTTCAGAGATTTCTTCATCTGTAGGAGAGGCAGCTAGGTATCACAGAGCATAGGGCACTGGACCTGGATTAAGGATGACCTGCGTTCAAATTCTGCCTCAAACATTTGCTAGCTGTGAATTTGTAAAGCACTTTACAAACCTTAAGGAGCTATATAAGTCATAGCAATTTTTACAATGAAGAATTTTGACTCGATTATAAGATCATCTTCCAGCTTTAGGTATTTTAGCACGTTAAAGTTCACAAAGCACTTTACGTATATTTTCATTTGAGCCTCACAACTTTGTGAGATGAGCCCTGCAGATAGTATCCCTAATTTCCAAATGAGGTGATGTCCATATTCTAACAGCTTTTCTACAGATATTTTTACAATATATGAAATATATTTCCCTGAAAGTGGTAGGTGTCCCTTTCTTTATTTCCAGAGATTGTCACTTTCCCATGGTCATACATCTTAGCTCATAAGCAGGTCCTGGGTGTTTCTGACACCAAATCCATCTGCTCTATTTCCATGCCTTCAGTGTGACTAATGATCCTAATTCATAGTATCAATTTATCGGAACAAAATTTCATAATGGCAGTTAGGACAGGGCACATTAAAAGAATTTACATACCAGAGTTTTATCTAATTTAAGCCTTTAAAGTAAACATCACTTTCTTTATTCTGAATTATGGTCTTTTAGTCCTGGGGAGGAACTCAAGCCTTCCAGAGGGTGATCTCACTTAAGTAATTGCTTTCCTGGGGGATGTAAATTGCTGCAAGACTTGTTGCCATTACCCCGGCAGAAGGACCTTAAAGGTTTCCTTATCTTTTTTTTCTTCAAATGTGAGGAAAGGAAAAATAAATTAGTATTTGACACAGAATAAGAAGAATCCAAAGGTCAAATAAAAAAATAATTCCTTGTCATCCAAAATCCAATTATAGGTCAAGTCTACATAAGTCTTGAATCAAGGCATAATGAGTGCCTAGTCCATGAAGTATAGTATATACCCGCCTGCTTAGTCCTTACCCTTCAAAAGCACTTCGGGTTTGTTTTAAATGAAAGAAAACTAGAAACACTCAGAAAAGAAATGTGACCCTTAAGGATAGATACCCTGTGGTATAACCAACGAGTAGTGAAGAGGAGGTTTTGGCAACCTTTGGTGTGCTCTGGAAAGAGTAGAAAGTACACACCAGCAATAGGAGATGAGAAGGGTGCATTTTCTTTAACTTTTTTTTATTACAAGCATAGGTTAGGTTATGCAGAAATAACCAGTACAAAAGCAAACGCCATTGATAAAACTTCCTCCATTGGTCAAAACTTTAGATAATCATTCCCAGGTTGAATGGAAAGTATATTTTAATTAGAATATTTGGGAGATAATTCATAGCTGTGACAAAAGAGTTAATGTTGAAGGCTTAATGTACAGACATTTTTGTGATTTTTGCCTTGTTTTGAGAGAGATATCTCTCTGACCCTACTAAGTGAAATATTCAAAGCTTTCTACTGTTATTCCACTTTGCATTTAATTGTGCTAAATTTGTTTAGATTTGGTAGAACAGCTTGCAGAGAAAATGAAAAATCATTAAAGGGATAGCTGAAGAATTATCCATTTTCTAACAGCTTTTCTGCAGATATTTTTATGATCTGTGAAACAATCTATTCTTTAAAGTGACAAATATATTTTCATTCTTATATTAAACTTGTAAATTGACAAAATTGTGGAGTAGACAAAGCATATAGTAACTGCCTACCCTTCCTATCAACTACTCCTTTCTTTTGCTACTAGTGACCTTCCTTTCCCCCCACAACATACACACTAGTCCTATCCCTCCTAATATTAACTAACAAAAGATACAAAGCATAAAAGGAGACTACTGCCAGCTGCCCTCACCTAACATAAACCTGAATTGTTTGGTGCAGACTGGGGGAAAAAAAATGAGGTTCTACAGAAGGCCTGTACACCTACACTAGCACTACTTCCCTCCATAGAGGAGCCAGTAAGGTAAGCCTACTTCAGAAAGATTTTTGACACAATTTAAAATGAGTAGGGCAAACCAAGGGCAAATCTCCAGCTGTTAGCAGATTTTCTTAAACACCACATAAATCAGAAAGTAAGGTATGTCAAATATTAAAATCCTAAACAATCCATACATAAATACTAGCCAAGTTCTAATTACATTATTACAAGACCTAAGTAAATGATTTTCTAATAAAATGCTAGAAAAAGACTCAAAGAGACACTGTATCAGTTAATGTCTTAGCATTAAAAAAGCTTTAGTTACTTTGACGTAGCTAAATTGTCTGGTTTAGATGAAACATGTTGTTTACTAAATCTAGGGAAAAGAAGGCAGTAACATATAGATTCTGTTTCCAGCCCTTTTACAGAGTTCTTTTCCTGATTTGCTTATCCATCTCTTGTGAGCTTGACCCTGTTTTTAGAAGTGCTTTTTTCATCAATCCATCTTAGGTTCTGTCCCAAAAAAGTGTAACTTTTTGTGGCATAGTAGTAAGCAAGCCTCTTTAGGCAGCGAGGTGGTGCAGTGGATAGGGTACTGGGCCAGGAGCCAGACTCATCTTCATGAGTTTAGATCTGGCCTCAAACACTAGCTGTGTCACTCTGTGCAAGTCACTTGACCCTGTTTACCTCAATTCTTCATCTATAAAATGAGCATTTTTGAAATAGGAAATGGCAGACCACTCTAGTGTCTTTGCCAAGAAAATCCCAAATGGAATCACGGAGAATAGGATATGACTGAAAAAATCACTCAGCAAGAAAATGAAAGTATGCCTCTTTCCCTGAGTGAGTTTTACATTTCAGTCACTAAAGCACTGAGTTCATGAAACTATCTCACTTTGACCTTTCTTGACTGTAATCTATATTAGTATTTACTTTTTCTTCTACTTTTTTCATATCATATTCAGTTTGTGCACTGTCAAGTAGCTTCTCTTATGCTTGGTGCTGTGAGGACTACAAAAGGCTGTCCTCTGTCCTTAATGAACATGTTATTACTAGGTAATTTTGTTGGGAAAAAAAGATTTAAATATACAAAACAATTGGGAACATTATGAAAGTTTTTATAATGTATGTAAGGGTAGCTTACATTTTAATAGTTTTTTAAGGTTTTCAGAATGCTTTAAAATGTAGTACAGGCCAAAGTTCTATGGCATATTTACCCAATTTATGTTAAGTTCAATGTCCTAAGGCATGTCTTAATCAGCTTTGTTATTTCTATTGCATTCTCCATTAAACTGTAAATACGGATTATAACTTTTATTTAATAGATCACCAACCGTTGCTCAACAAGTGTTGTTTAAATGTGGAACTATGCCCAAAGGACTATAAAACTATACTCTTTGACCCAGCAATACTACTACTAGGTATGTAACCCAAGGACATCAGAGAAAAAGGAAAAGAACACTTGTATACAAAGATATCTATTCAACTCTTTTTATGGTAATTCAAAATTGGAAACTGAAGGGATACCATCACCTGGGGAGTGGCAGAATAAATTAAGGTATACAAATATGATGGAATGCTGTTTTTTTGTAAGAAATCATGAAGAGGATGGTTTCAGAAAAACCTGGGAAGACCCATATGAACTGATGCAAAGTGAAGTGAGTAAAACTAGGACAGTCTGCACAATAGCAGTAATATTGTAAGAATAACTAATTGTGAAAGACAGCAATTCTGATCAATGCAGTGAACCACTACAACTCCAAAGAACTCATGGTATAAAATGCTCTCCACCTTCAGATTGAGAACTAATGGTCTCAGAGTGCAGAATGAAGAATTTTTTTCCTTTCACTATTTTTTCTTTATTTTTGTTTCCCTAGAACGTGGCTAATACAGAAATGTTTGGCATTACTCTATATGTATAATGGCTATCATATTTTTTGCTTTCTCAAGGGTGGGGGAAGAGGGAAGTAGAGAATGTGGAACTAAAAACAAAATTTAAATTAAAAAATATTGTTTACTAAAGTTGTTTTTTTAAAAGCAATCCTGTAAGACTACTTAGTCTGCCTTCTCTTCCTATTCACAGTCAAGTTTTAAGAATGTAATTCCCTGTATCAATATCTTCTCACCGGCTTTGTAGCAAACAAAGTAAAGTGGCTAAGAAAAGAAACAAAAGAATCTAATTTACACAACTTTTTGTGTTGTATTTAAAGTCTTCACCGGACTTCATCTGACAGTCTAACTCAGACAACGAAACTGGGAGTAAAAGTAGTAGTATTAACCAATAGGGAAGTCCAAACTATGTGCAATATGGAGATAGTGAAGCTTCCTTTCATTTCCTACCCCAATTTGTTATTTTGGCAAAGAGATCATGTTTCCTGTGTCTTGGCAATTCAATAATATTTTTCTATACTAAATTTTTTTTCTATTCTAGCATTTGATAAGTTATTTATGCATAATCTTGCATCACAATTTTCACTCCAACTGGGAATTGTGGGAAATTAAAATTTGAGATACTACTGTATTTCATTAAAGCTTAATCAGGCTTGATCTTGTTACTATTCTCCCTCTCATTATATGAGTTTAAACTTCTTGAGCCTGCAACTTTAGTTCCCTTTTTCTCTCTTGTGAGTTACCCACCATCCGCTTTTAGGAGAAACTTACTTAAGATAAAGGTCAAGTGTATTCCATGAAGCATTGATATCAGATATTCCAGGAAATCTAAGTTGTTGCTGTGAAAATTCCCCATGCCCTGTGCACAATCCTCATTCTCTAACTCTAGCCAATGGTACCTAGATAACACCTACATTGCTAATAATAGATTGTATCACTTTACTGTAAAAGAAGTGCCTGGACTGTCAAGTGAGGTCCATAGGAGCCTTGGACCCCATTTATTGGCACTTGTTATCTTTGCTGGTAGATTGATTGTGCTCAGAAGTTTATTGCCTCAGTTCTCTTATTCATAGATTTCAATCATGACAATGGGCGAGCCAGCCAGGAGGCTGAACAACAGCACCCCGGGACCTCTTCTCTGAGGAACCCCCTAGAGCACTCCATTAGACACTTTTAACCCAAGGATGCCCAAGAGGTCTGATTCCTTCTTGACCTCAATCCTAATTCATCAGGCTAAAGTAAGTCCTAAGTGGGAGAATCCCACCATCAGGACTTGAGGTGTTTTTCACAGGTAAAATAATTTTCCCTGTGCCAACACTAGGAATCCCTTCCTTAGGAATAAATGGCTACCTGTGCTGACACTAAAACTTGTAGCAGCCTATCTGAGGCTTGAGCATGGTGCTGTGATAGCAACCTCAATAGGAAGGGGTACTCTTTAGGACTGCCAGGAGGGGCTCCTTATTAGGGACCCTCTGGGCTTCATTTAGACAGTTAGTCTCCCTGATCTGGTCCAAAGAAGAGACTTTGAATTATTAAAGGCTTTAAGATTACAGTTAGTAAAATTGTGTGTGCTGACTTTTTTTGCTTAGACTAAAAGAAGGAAAAAGAGTAAATGTTAAGATTCTGGAAATTTGAAGAATCAGGTTAAGCACCTATATTTTCTCTCCTCTTTACTGGAAGGCAATAGAGGAATTCTATTATAAACAGATCTGAAGGTATAGTGATTCAACAAGATTTAATTGTCTTGGGCAAAGTAATATGGTATTGTAACCTAATTACAGACTAAAATTGTGACATATCTCATTTCTCTACTGTGAATTTCCAATTCATGGTTTCAGTGTGTGTATAAATGTTGAAATATTTTGGTGAGTTTTGTTTTAAGGAAAACTAAGACTAAAACTGAAAGTAAATGGAAACAGCACTTAGACTTTTTATCACTCTTTCCCTAGAGAGACAGATTATAGTGCAAGGAAGGAAGGTGATTTCACTGATTAGAGGGCAGCTCAAAGTTTAAATTTATCTGATACTTGAGAAGAACTGCTTACCATTAACTCTTTATTGACCGTGAAAAGAGAGAAGCTTGTCTAAATCAGGAAGCAATTTAAATATAAGTAAAATTTAATTTAGAATCGTATTTGTTTTATCATGATATTTGCTTTTGGTCAGCCTAAGCAATTAAGTACTGTGAGTGATAAAACCTTACAAGAAACTGGAATGAATTACGAGTTTGTAAGACTTTAAAAACCCAAAAAGGTGACAGTCTTGCAATTAATTGGTTTTGTGTAATAAAACTTGCACTAAATTAAAGGGAAAAGATCAGTGGAACAAATATTAATTCTTCAAATAGTCTGGGATATGATTGGGACAAATATTTAAAGATTTTTAGAAGTAAAATTTGTAGTATAAAATTATTTGGGTGTACATGCCTACACTCTGTCCTTGGAAGGGTGAATCCCTACCTTTAGAGTCTCTCAAGAATCAAGATGTGTACTTTACCCACCTTTTTAAAGCATTTAGAGAGACTATAGCAAGAAAACAAAAGGTAATGATTTGGTTCATTGGGTCATTTTTGAACTAAGTAAGGTGGGCCCTTGAAATTTGAAATTTTAATAGTAAATGGCCTTTGGGAAATTCAAGGTTCCAAATGTAACCATTTGAGATTGTAAACCCGAACTTGATTTGATTGAAATTTTGTCCTGAAACTAAAATGTGTGGTCTCATTTACAGTGAGATGTGTTCTCCTATTGGAATATTGTCTCCTTTACAGATTAGGAAACTGAGGTGTGGTAAATCTGTTTACCTCAGTTTCCGTAATCTGTAAAGGGGATAATAATAATAGCACGAACTTCCCAGAGTTGTTGAGAGGATCATATAATTGTGAAATGCTTGACATAGTGTCTGACTTGTTCAGAGGGTGAACAGTGCAATATTCAGACCTTTTAAGAATTCAATCGGACAAAGTGTTTCTTTGGTAACGTGCTACTGCTTAAAGATTGCTTTTCTAAATTTGCATTGATTCCATTATCATTTAACTTTTTAAGATTTCATTCTTTCCTTATAGAAAAATTTCATTCTTACCACCTAACTGCTGTGTAATGTTAACTAGCAAATTATTATACTAATACATTTAAGAAATTCAGAATAACTGAAAAATCAGTCTAAATATTTTAAAGTACTTCAGAAGACTGAAATCTGTACCTCTTTAAGCTTAATTAGAAAAAACCTACTATGTTGTAAGCTATAATGTTAAGAAAGTAGTCTGTATTGTTCTTGAATACAATCATTATAGAATGCCAAGGGTAGTTTTCTACGTAAAATATTTTGGAAGTGTACTCAACTGAATTAATAACTGATAATAAGTTTTGTTTCATGTTTTAAATACATGACATTGTGGATGTGAAAAAATGTTTCTTGTATTGTGAAATTTGGGGAAATATTGTATCAGATTCAATGTTATATTCTAAATTGAACCGTTAAAAGAATGTGGTCAAAATGTTTGGAAAACGAATATTTAATGAGGTATATTTTGCTTTAAATTGGAAAATAATCATGATCATAATGACTCACTGTTGGGAGAAAGTAGTAAAATTCTCTTAAAGCAATCCATGTCTATGAAGGACTTTTTACGTGGGTGAGGTCGTAAGATCTGATCAGCCCTTCTGACAGCATGATTTGAAACCGTGAAGTTCTACAGTTTGAGAAACAAAGATCTCTCCCAGCCAAAGTGGAAAAATTTACCAATTTAGCTAATAGTAGAAAAAGGATTTCAAATAGAATTATTTGACTTCCACTTCTGAAAATTATAAAGATTTTATCTGTTAATAAGTAAGATGTAGCTTAAATATTTATTCTTAGGACTGGAAATTTAAAGTAACTAAGAATTTTCTTAAGGATTTTGAGCCGACTATTCACTGTATGTGTAAAACTTTAGAATATACTTAATCTTATTTTATAAATGAGGGATAAATGAAATATCCTTATTTGTGCAACCTGAGAATATAATAACCTAGCCTTAAGCTGTGATTAGTGAATCTTTACTATTTGAGGTAAAATTTTGTGGGACTATAATTTGATATTGTTCTGAGTTTTGATTTCAAGTATGAGTATCTGAATTGAAACCACTAGTCCACTATTCAAGGGGACTGCTATGTGCTGCCCAAAGAGAACACAGCCTGAGAACTGCTACAGGTAGATGTCTGTGCCAGGGAAAAGTTGAGGGGACAACTTGACCTAGGCTAAGGTAGGATCCTCTTGACTCCAGCTTCCCTATTGTGCAATTTCCTTTTCTGAATAGGAAATTTTCCCACCTGGTTAATTCTGAGCCTGCCTTTTGATACCCTGTGAATAATGTGGGACTTTATTGTATGATAGGCTGTTACATATGACTCTTGCCTGGAATCAAACAGATCTAATGTCAGGTCACTGCTTTTGAGGGGATAGTCTTGACAACATATTCATGTCCCTTTTTTATTCCCCCTTTTATAACAAATTTTTGTAAACAGGGCAGATGAATATGCTGTTGCAACACTAAATCTCTCAATTAATAGATTAATACTGAAACATCTAAGTTACTCTAATAGGATATTATTCAGATTGCCTCAGTAAGATCGTTTATACTTGCATCCTATTGTAAGTGTTGGGGATCTTGCTGTTTTCAATCTGAATTAATAGTCACCTTAATATCCTGAGCAACTAATGAGTTCTTTGCTTTCCCACCCCCTTGCTAATAGTTGTGTATTCATGTATAGGAATGAGTCCTTCAAATATCTCATTCTTTCAATATATACACAAATAAATAATGCTATACATGATGATATGAGGAAAATATCCTCAAAAGGAGGAAATTAGATAAGAATGTAAAAGTCATTTAATTAAATGGAGTTGCAAATTTTGAAAAAGCAACAGAATCAGTGTTTTCTCTTGTCTCTAATAGGGTATACAGGCCCTGAGTATGTTTTAGTAACAAGTTCTCAAAATTGGATTAAGAATTTTATGTATAAAATTACATTGATAATTGAAATTATTTTCCTATTTTGAAGTCTCTGATAATTTTAAGAGACAGAAGGGCTCATTTTCCAAGTCAGGCTCTCAGAGAGTGTACTAAATTATATTGAACCTTGTTACTGGAAGATTTAAGCAAACTACACTGAATAAACTTCATGAAGCAAGAATTGCAGGACAGACTGGGCCTTTGGACTTTTATGCTACACAACTTCTACTTTGAAGATAATGTTACATCAAGAATTTCTAGTGGACCAGTGGAACTCAATCCTGGGAAGACCCATTCCAAGTATTGCTGACCACCCTGGGACATAAGGGACTCAGGATGAGAATTCTCACCATAATCCAACAGGTTATAGCAGAAATCCAACTTTTTAATGAAGATTCCCCCTGGTGGGACCCTTCCTGGTTTTCTTGGTTATCTGGTAGAGGAGGCATACTAGCTACTCTAAATATGCTTTAGGTCACATTACTTTAGGTCTCATAATTGTTTTCTGGAATATATTAATTGTTTCATTTGGTACTTGCAGTATCAAGAGTTTCTCAAAATTAATTTATTATGAATATTGTTAAGTGGCTTTGTAAATATAAATTTAACTCAAGTTTTTTTTTTATTCTGTAATTGTGACTTTGCCTTTAAAGATTTTGTAGGAATGATACATGGACTGATACAGGGTTCATTAGATGTTGATGATTTTTACTATACTTTGATTTATATCTTTGATGATTATTTTATTTAAGTGATTCATTGAAGAGGCACATCTCTTCAAAGGCTCAAAGGGGGAAATTGTAGGATATTAAGATTTGAGATATTACTGTATTTCATTAAGGCTTACCAGACTTAATCTTTTTGCTATTCTCCCTTTCATTATGTGAGTTTAAACTTCTTGAGTCTGCAACTTTAGTTCCCTATTTCTCTCTTTTAAGTTGCCTTCCACCTACTTTTAGGAGAAACTTAAGATAAAGGTCAAATATATTCCATGAAACATTGATGTCATATATTCCAGGAAATCTAAGTTGTTGCTGTGAAAACTCCCCACACACTACAAAACCCCCGTTCTCTGATTCTAGCCAATCATAACTAGATAACACCCACATTGCTGATAATAGATTGTGTTGCTTTACTATAAAAGAAGTCCCTTGACTGTCAGGTGGGGTTCTTGGTTGCTGGGGAGCCTTGGACTCCATTCATTGGTAATTGCTAATTTTGCTAATAAATTGATTGTGCTCAGAAGTTTATTTACAGATTTCAACACGACAGAGTAAATCCTAGTTCCCAATTCCATACTTTCTAGAACCTGTGATTAAGTAGCTATATATATAAAACTATGCATGTCTTCTCAAAATACCAGATGTGCCAACACTGGCCCTGTAATTTATGTTGTCTTTTTAATTTTTTCCCTAACATTAATTCCTTAAAACTCAATGAATGTTGTATGAGCCTATATTTGGGCGCATGTTGCACTTCACTGGCAATTTATATTTTTCTTTCCACAGAGTCTTCAAGCAGAAAGAAATAGACCAACTAAAAGCATGATTAACATCAATAGCCGCCTACAAGAACTCTTTGCTTATGCTATTAAGGCTGCTTATCCAGATTTGGAAAATCCTCCCTTGGTAGTCACACCAAGTCAGCAACCAAAATTTGGGGATTATCAATGTAACAGTGCCATGGGCCTTACGAAGGTACTATATTAAAATTAATTATTCTGGGATATTTAAATCTTGGAAAAGAACATACGTCCTGTGAACAAAAGATTGCAGTGTTTGCAGTAGCATCATAGCTGTCCTCGAGTTCTAAGTTTGCCCCATTCATCAAAAGCGTATCTTTTCCCAACACCTAGTACAGTGCCTGGCCCATAGTAGGCACTTACTAAATAAATGCTTATTGATTGAATAGGATTTTTTCCCCCAAATACTGAAGGACTTGATTTCTTAAAGAAATAGCTTAAAGGTTTAGGCCTATGGCTTGTTTACTCCATCAGCAGCCAATGTATTTGCCATAATAAATTTGTGTTTCCCTTTATTAAGAATCTTTATTGCTTTTCCTCACAGTAAAATGAGCAGCTGTGGGAAATTAGAACTTAATACTTTCTATTTGGACACCCATTCATCCCTTATTTATTATGTTGTATCTGATACTGCTCTTCCTCCCCCATTCTGTTTAGGAACAATGTGCATATGAATATCATAGCATAAAAATTTTAAATTGACTATCTACCAGGTACTGATAGCTTCAAATATTTAACTTGTCATTGCTATTTAAATAAAATTGCTATGTGGCCTGGGTTATCCTGTGGTGATTAAAATATTGGCCATAGATGATCCTTCAGATTTCTTTTTTTGTTTTCTTCCCTCCAAAGATTTAGCACAATTTATTGTTAAATGAATTTTTCCTCAGTTTTGGTAATTGCCATTAACCCTCCTCCCCTCACCCCTAACTACCTACCTTCTATGCTAAATAATCAGGTTCTTATCTAGTGAGTCTGGCATCTTTACCTGGATTGTATTCCATATTCTAGGTTAAAGTTTAATGTTATAAAGTACTGTATTCTAATTAATGTCTAAATGTTTTAAGCTCTTATATTCCACGATGACTTGAAAATTAGAGATATAAACAAAACATCTTTTGAACCTTAAAAATGTTATATTACTAAAGTAACAATAATAAATAAATTGTGTATTCCATACATTTTCATTACCTCATTTGAAGTGGAGAAATTATGTGGTTTTGACACTTTAAATGTCCTCATGGTATTTCTTATATAAGCTGACCTTATAAAAAGGGGCTAGGCTTCACTGCCTCTGCTTTTTTTGGTGGCACTTAAAGCAAAATGTTTCTTTTCATGTTATGTCAGGGTGTATGCTTGGATTTGTAAGAAATTTGCCCAGTTTTATAGAGTATTAAATTGTCTTGTGTTGTGTTGCAGATGCTGCTCAAAACCAAGGAAGAGAAAGTTAACCCAAGAGATACTGCAGGAAATGTTGTCAAACACCTTCCAGACAATGAATACATCGAAAAAGTTGAAATCGCTGGTCCTGGTATGATCATAATGTCATCCTTTTAAAGTAGAAGTACCGACACTTGATTTCCTTATTGAAACCGGCAAGACAAGTTCAAATCCAGTTTTAGGGTGAAACAATAAGTAGTGATTTTAATAAAATGTGGCTAGTAAAAAGGGTCTCCGGATAGGAGATAGGAACCATTTGGCTACCAACTGGCCATATGATTTTAAGTTGGTTGTTTCAGCTTTCTGTGTTTATTTTCCTTACTAGTGAAATGAGGGATAAATAATATTCATTTTGCTTCAGGTATGATAATAGTGAATAATTAGTGGATATTAAAGTATTTTTCAAAACATAAAGTAATATATGAGTGTAGGCTTTTAAAAATGTTATTGAATCATTGATTATAATGATATTGCCTATACTATAAATAATGTAACGATACTATGTTTTATTAGTTAATTGTCTTATTACAACCAGTATCATAGTTTGGTCATGGGTGAGAAACCTTGTTTTTATTGGATAATTTGTATAGCAATTGATACACCATAGTTACCAGGAAATACCATTACTTTACATTCGGGGGATGTGGGTCCTTTAGAACTATCTTTAGAACCATCTATCATTTATCATCACCAATTGGCTGTGTGAACTGTGGCAAGTTATTCAGCCTGTCTGAGCCTTAGTTTCCTCATTTGTAAAGTGGAAAAATTGGACCAAGTGATCTGTAGTGCCCTTTACAGCTCTAAAATTCTTTGATTCAGAAACCCCAAGTGGTAACCGTATTTATAGTTCATGGTTTGAAAGACCCTGACAGAAACAGTCAGGATAAAATCTTGAGTTTGCTGCTTACATAGTCTATATTTCTAGAAGCCATTCCAGGGAGAGCTGATGGTTTATCAGTGACAAAAAAAACTGTGGTCTTCATTTATTAAAGGGTATCAGTTTTTAATAGAAATGTGTATTTTTCTCAACTATAGATATTTTTGTTTGATTATTTGAAAAGAAAATATTTGGGTACCAAAACTGAGGCTCTGCAACTTGCTCTTTTTTTTTCCTTTCTCACTATAAGGTTTTATTAATGTTCACCTAAGAAAAGATTTTGTATCCAAGCAATTGACTAATCTTTTGGTGAATGGAGTACAACCACCTACTCTTGGAGAAAGAAAGAAGGTACCTGTGTGGACAGCATTTTTATATGAAAGTACTGTTTTTCCGTACACAGTAATAAAGAGCTACCATCGTAACTTGTTATGTCTTGCATTTTTCTGCATTGAGGTTTCATCATTTAAATTATTGTAATATGATTGTGAATGGAATATAAAATCATTGTAGCCTTTCTTTTGGAATCCTCATAGTTCCATCATAATCACAAGTACAATAGGGCAAATTTTATTAGAAGTTTCACATTTAGCAGTACTCTTAAAGGTTTATGTTTAAGGTCTAAAATAAGAGATGACATTTTAGGTATTAAAAAAATAAGCATCAGTGATCCTGTGGAAAGAATAAGGCTATATGTCGTGATATGGATTCCCTTCTGAGCTCTACCACTAACTAAATGTGAATGATAACATTTGCCAAACCCATCTCCCAGGCTTCTTTTAACTATAAAGTGAGAAAATACAAAGGAAAGTGCTTGAAAAAGTTAATGGTTAGCTCAGCTCAAGCTCTACCTTTTACATGAAGCCCTTCCACTCCAGCTGCTTGTGCTTACCCTCCATTCCCCCTCCCCATCACATCATTTTTATTTTATATATACTTACTTATATATATATATGAGCTATATAAGTAAGTGCGTGTGTGTGTGTGTGTGTGTGTGTGTATACACACACATACATATACATATGAGCTACATCAACAGAATGTAAGTTCCCTGAGGGCAGAGATTTTTACTTTTGTATCTCCCCAGTATCTTTCGTAGTATTCTGCACTTAATAAGTATTTAATAAATGTTGGCAATGTAAATTTTATGAAGAGGTTTATATGTATATTAATGAAATTAAGCTTTTCTGCACAATAATTTCTCTGGTTTTCTGTCCCAGGTTGTAGTCGATTTTTCTTCTCCAAACATAGCTAAAGAGATGCACGTAGGCCATCTTCGGTCAACAATCATAGGAGAGAGCATATGCCGACTCTTGGAGTTTGTGGGTTATGATGTTCTCAGGTAAGTACCACTTTCCTTCATTTTTGACATTTCTATTGAAAATTAGAGGTTTCATTTGACAATGGAGCTTTATTTATACAACACCACTGAAAGTGTAGTTTCCATTCTCATTTGTCTGGAGCACCTTAAATCTCTTCTTTGCCTCATACCCTGGATTTTATCATACTCATCTGTGTACAGGTTGTCTGTCCTTGTAGTAGAATATGAGCTTCTTGATGGAAGAGGCTCTTTGGTTCTTGTTTTTGTATTCCAAGCACATATCATAGATTGTTTCACATGGTAGGCATTTAATTTTTTTTTTTCCCAAGTAGAGTTAAATTGAATGAATGAATGAGTTTTTCACTTGACCTCAGTTATTTGGACCTACTTGAATTCCCTGACCTATCTCTATCCAGGTTAGCTACATTATAGAGATAATGCAGAATCTTGATAAGTTTTGCCATTAACATTTCAGTATAGTTTGCTAATTTAGTGATTGGTTAGTTGTTATAAAAGCCTCAGAATTCTGTAACTTGAAATAGATTATTTAATTAAAATGTCCATAACATGAAGAGGTAGCATAATGCAATAGAAAGAATCATAAATGGAAAGCCTGGGAACTCAACTTCAAATTCTTGGCTTTGCCACCCTTCCCTGAGTCTCATTTCTCTCTGTAAAATGTAGGGGATTGTATCTCCAAGATCTGCCTTACTCTGTGATTCTATGTTTCTGAAAGTGTGTTTTTTTTGTTTTTGTTTTTGTTTTTTTAATTGCTAACCAGGTTAAATCATGTGGGAGACTGGGGGACACAGTTTGGTATGCTCATCGCTCACCTACAAGATAAATTTCCAGATTACTTAACTGTTTCACCTCCTATAGGTGATCTTCAGGCCTTTTATAAGGTATATACTACCAGCTGTTTGTTCTTTGTCTTGTTCCTTCTGTATGACATTAAAGCTCTTCAGAGTCAGATTCCAGATTATTTTTGCATTCTTCGTAGCACATTGCTCAACTTACATTCTGTGCTCCCATCCAACTAGCCTTCTTGTTGTTCCTTATGCATGACTTTGTATAGGTGGCTGGACAGACAGATAAAACTCTGGATTTGGAGGCAGGAAGACCTGACTTAAAGTCTGCCTCAGACACTTACTAGCTCTTTGAGTCTGGGTACGTCACTTTACCTTTGTGGCACCTGCCTCCCAGAGATGTTGTGAAGATCATGCAAGATAATATTTATTGTAAAGGTCTTTGCTGTGTAAATGCTAGTTATTATGCTAGCTGATTCCTGCATCTATGCCTTTGCACAGGCTGACCCCCATATATGGAATGCTTTTCCTTCTCACCTCAACCTCTTAGAACCCTTAACTTCCTTCAGGGTACAGCTCAGATACCACCTCCTGCAAGAACCCATTTCTGATTTCTCAAGTTGTTAGTGCCCCTTCATGCTCCCAAATCACTGTTTATTTTGTATATATCCCCTATTTACTTTCGTATTTGTATTCCTCAAATTCCTGATCTTATAAGTCTGAATATTGAAATTAGTTTTTTACAGCGATGCTAATTATTGTCATAATGAAACTAAAATACATTTTGAATCAATTGACTAAAATCATTGCACTTATATTTATGTAGAGACATCCAAAATTATCTCCCACCTAACAACTTATTTTGGTGTGTATCTGGGGTATATAGTACTAGTCAGCTTTGTAAACAGAGCAGCTAAAACTGATTTTGCATAAGCATGTCGCCTTATTGACCATTTTTAGTGTTGGTGTGATATTCAGTCATCCAGATCAACAAATGTTCCAGTGCTTTTTTAAATAACAGAAGAATAAGTATTCCTATTTTAAAAGAAAAGCAAGGTTATTTTCTCAGAAACCACACGTAGAACAAGGAATAATGTGGAATTTCAGCTTCTTAATACAGGTCATATATTACCTTTTTTTTTTTTTTGAACCAAGTAAAAATTATTTGAGGTGGGATTGTGTGAATTGGAAAAGGAAAATGAAGAGCAGAAAATGTAAGATTTTGTTATTCACCAAAAAAGTATCAAATACGGTTCTTTAGGAGATACATTCATATTTTTTAGTATTAAATACAGTATGAGTCCTCAGGATTATAGATTTAGAAATTCCTTGATCTCTTCTCAAGAATTGTACACATAGACTTCTAGATTTTTTTTTTTTAAACTTAGGAATCTAAGAAGAGGTTTGACACTGAAGAAGAATTCAAGAAGCGTGCATACCAGTGTGTGGTTCAACTCCAGAGTAAAACGCCAGATATCACAAAAGCTTGGAATCTTATCTGTGATGTTTCTCGAGAAGGTGAGCTTTGGGGATTCATTATATCCAATGTATAATATGTTAAGTAAGATCTTAATTTTATAGCCTTCACACGGTTATATTGTGCTGTGATCTGATCCTTTATCCCATTTACTGTCTAGAGTCAAGTCTTACGAAGAGCAAATGTCAGTCCATGGTCTTGTACCAACTGAGAAATTTAGAATGGTTTATCATTTTACAGTATGCTTTTTATAGCTTACTTATGCAAAAAAAAAAATTCTTAGTGTTATATGGTCATGTGTTTTCCAGAGTGGTTTTTTTTTGGGGGGGGGAGTAGATAAAGTATTAAAAGCAAAAATGTGTATTTTAGCAATGACATTTTATTATCATTCCCTAATTGTCCCTCTCAAGTATATTTTGACATTTCAATTTTTACTTCATTGTAATTGTACTTTTTTTGAGATGTTTTGTCTTTCTTTTACATTAGCATAGATAGACCTATTTTATTTCTGTTGAGCTAATTTTCTTTGTCTTTCTTTTAGAGTTTAAAAAAATCTATGAGGCTTTAGATATTTCCCTAGTAGAGAGAGGGGAATCATTCTACCAAGATAGGATGACTGATATTGTCAGCGAATTTGAAGAGAAAGGTAAGTTGTGTTGCTTATGAACTTAATAAAGCTACCAAGAATTTGAAACTGTATTTTAATTCAGATTATTGTTTTCAGAACAATGACAAGACTCATTTTTGTCATCCTCGTATTCTCTCATACTTATAGTCCAGTTGGAGGGGATAACATGTAAACAAACTGTAGCAATTATATAAGGTAATCAGTCAGCAAGCATCTATTAAATACCTTACTCTATATTCTACAGTGGGGAGACAAAAGTAAAAAATATGAAACAATCCCTGCTCTCTAGGAGCTTACATTTTATTGATGTAGACAACATGAATGTAAAGTATACACAAAATAAATACAGTGTAGTTATGGATAGAGGGCACTAGCAGCTTGAGTGACCAGGAAAGGTATCATAGAGAAGTAAGAAGGTAGTACTAGAGCTAAATGTTAAGGGAAATGAGGGATTTTATGCAGGAGAGAAGAGGCAGGAGTGCATTTCAGGCATGGAGAACAGCCGTTGCAAATCCATGGAGACAAAAGATGGGTGTGCTTATGTGTGAAGATCAGAAAGAAAGTTAGTTTGACTGAACCAAAGAATTGGAAGAGAGTGATGTATAAGGAGGTTGGAAAGATAGGTTGGGGTAGAGCCATAAAGGGCTTTAAATGCCAAATGGATTTTGTAGTTATTTTATCTTAGTGGGAATAGGGAGCTACTGGAGTTTATAGAGTTACATGGTCAGATCTGCCTGTACTGATTGCAATATAGGATTGTAGATTGCAACAGAGAAACTTGAAGCAGGGTGATCAATTAGGAGGCCATTGAAGTCCAGGCAAGAGTTCACGAGAGCCCAAAATAAGTTGGTATGAGTATAAAGGTCAAGTATAAGAGGTTGTGGAGCTGGAAACAGAAATATTTGGCATCAGGGTTGGGTAAAGGGAAGTAAGAAATCCTGGATAACACTGAGATTACTAACCTAGGAGTCTGAGAGGATGGTGATACTTTTGCAGGACTAAAAAGGGCCTAGAGGCCATATACCCAAGTCAAGTCACTGAGGCTTGAGGGGGGATGGGTTCCAAATATACAAGCGGTCTGTAGATAATCTTCAACAGTGATGCCAGAATTAACATGAGGAATTTTCTTCCTCAGGTTGAGATGAGTAGAAGATCCTAAGTTTGGGTTTCAGTTATGTTGGTTAAAGAGAAAGAGTGTATTGTGGTCATAAAAATTGAGTTCTTGAGAATCAGTAGCTGGTGTGTGACAAGGTGATGAAATTAACCGACACTGCAATCTCATATGCAGACCTGAAAAGAAGAGAGCCAATATAATCAATTTTAAGTCAGAAGTAAATTAAGAACCACATAGGATCATACTGTCTTGATCTTTCAAAGGTGGTTGCTGTAATTGGAATAAAGAACACTATTAAGCAGAAGTAGTTTCATTGCCTTTAGTTAAGGGGTTCTTATAGTCCTGCACCCACTGCAACAGTACATCACAGCCCCCACGTCAGGATTGATGGAACCATTCACTGCTGTCTACTGGACCTAATCCTCAGTCTGTTCATTTTATGATTTTTGTGATGACTGCATAAATAGAAGCTGGCTTTTTTTTTTTCACATACTTCTGGACCATTATACTTCTGATATTGTTTAACATTTTTTTGTTGATGCATTTTGTTTTTATATCGCCTTTTCCAAATATATCCCTCTTCCCTACCCTGTGAGCCATGAGCCAAAAAAGAAAGAAGAGGGAAAAAAGCAAAATCAGCCAAATTGTGGACTATGTATTCCACACCCATAGTCCCTCCCCTCATCCCCCCAGCTTCTGCAAAGGAGGGAGGATCATTTTCTCAGCTCTTATTTCAGGCCTCTCTTATCTCAGCTTATTATTCATTATTCATTATTCCTTCAGTTTCATTTTCACCTTTCTCTTTATGTTATTGTCATTGTTTTAAACTCTTGTATGTTTTCCTAGACCTATGAACTATTATTCAGATTCCCTATAACAGCCCTTTTTGATTACATTGTAAATTGGCTTCTTGGGTGGATCCTCAAAGATAATTATGGCTTTAGCATGGATTACACAGTCTCTGAAGGCTTAGGCTGGTAGAACAGGTGGGGCTTTCAAAGGGGTCTATCTGGAGCTTGGGAACAGCTGCCATGAGAGCTCGAAGACAGGCAAAAGCACTCTTGGTGTGCAAAGGTGCTTTTAGAAATAGCTATTCTCGAAAGCAAACAATTTGTGTCCAGTGAATACAAGAGAAAATTCATCAAATTCATATTAAACTGAGAAATAAAAATTGCATGAGTTAGTAAACTTTACCCTGTTCATACACACACACACACGCGCGCGCGCGCCTAAGATAGATACTCTGAATACTATTGAGTTGAATTACAAATATTGTCTTTTTGAGAAATTCTTTTACTTCTATTGACAATTAGTCTATTCTTTCAGGATTTGTCCAGGTGGATGATGGGAGGAAGATTGTGTTTGTCCCAGAATGCTCAGTTCCGTTAACAATAGTAAAATCAGATGGAGGTTATACTTATGATACATCTGACTTAGCTGCTCTTAAGCAAAGATTAATGGAAGAAAAGGCAGATATAATTATCTATGTCGTAGACAGTGGACAGGTGAGTTGATAGATCCCTTTGTGTTAATGTCTTCTATGGAATTGTAGCAGATATTTTACCTTGTTCTTTGGTAGCTAAGGTTCCCTAAACGCTAAAATTTAGAACAGTGTTATTCTCATTCCAACAAAGGTGCTTAGATGTTAGCAAGACTACTTTTAAGATCTCTAAAATACAAAGAAATAGAAGAATTTATCAGCTCTTTTGTGCCTTTTTTTTTTTTTTTTTTTGGTTAAGATCAAGGGTTCCTAAACCTTTTTTTGCATGATGAACCCCTTTGGCAATGTGGTAGAACCACTTCCCAAATGTTTTTAAGTGCATGAAATAAAATACATAGGATTACAAAGGAAACCAGTTGTGTTGGAATAAAGATGTAATTTTTTTTTCCCCAGCCAAGTTTATGGAGCCTTGGAAGTTAGTGGACCCCAGGTTCAGAACCCCTATTTTAGAGAATAAGAGCTAGCACCTTCTGTAATATTGCTGATAAAACTTTTTTCCCCTTCAACATAGGTATTTGGGTAGATCTTGCATGAAGGATTTATGAAGTAAAATGTAGAAAAGCAGTACAAACAAGATAAAGTTATTTAGAGGGGTTGTTTTCATTGTCAGTGAAAGAAAGACCCATAATGAGGAAATAACATCATTTCTGGTGTTTGAAACATAAGCATAGCCTTAACTTCTTTAATTGTATTACAGAATAGACCAAATAAATGTTTTCATGTTATCTTGTAGGCTTTACACTTCCAGGCAATATTTGCAGCAGCTCAGATGATTGGATGGTATGACCCTAAAGTGACCCGAGTAAGCCATGCTGGATTTGGTGTAGTGCTAGGAGAAGACAAGTAAGTCTGTGAAACCTGGAGCAAGTAACAGACTGTCTACCTCCCAAATATCTATGAAACAAATCATATTTTATTTGGTAGCATGATCAGAACTAAACAAGCCTGGTAAAACCAACTGAACAACTTTGTACTTCTGTGGGTACAGTCATTTCCAAGCATTTTACCCTATTTCTAGCCCTGCTCATAACAAATATCATTATTAACTGTGTGCTGTGTGTGACAGTGAAGTTTATTTTATAGTCAGAAGAACACTGAATCCATATATAACTGAATAATTAAGAAATTGCTCAGAATTTTAAGAAAACCAAGTGTGAATTATCTGGTTTGTTTAAATTTTCATTTATATTGGGAAGTGTCCTCTAAAATTTATAATCAGTTGTGTTTAAAGTAGTATGAAGTTAGCCTGTTTAGTATGTTTACTTGATATGTGTCCCTGGCCCAATTCTTATTTTGGTTCCTCACTAGTTAGGTACAGTAATTTTAAATCATAATAATTTTAGGACTCTAATATTTTTTACATTTCCATGCTGCCTGGTGTATTATAACTAAAGTATTTTATTCCGTTATAAAATGTTTAAATAAGAGTAAATATTTTGATATACACACACATATAAATAAATGGTGTGTGTGGGTGTACACTTATGTACCGTGGTTGTGTATACTTAAACTTCACAGATTCTGTCATCCACTATTTCTAACTGGATTTGTTCTATCTTTGATTTGATTATAATTAAGGAAGCACCTTTCATTTTGTCTTTTTTTCCACTATTCTTTGTTCAGCACCTTGCCCGTTTCCCCTCTCTCTCTTCACCATCCACAACTCATCTTCTCTTTTCTCATAGCCTCCTTTTTATTTTGGATTCAATCCAGTGCCAGTTTTGTTTTTTAGGTGCAGTTGATGCCATCAACTCAGAACTTTTAAATGTTTGCTTTTAGGAAAAAGTTTAAAACTCGCTCAGGTGAGACAGTGCGCCTCATAGATCTGTTAGAGGAAGGGCTGAAAAGGTCTATGGATAAACTGAAGGAAAAAGAAAGAGATAAGGTAATTTTAGTACATATTGGAGTTAAATAAGCATGTGTTTTGATTTTTTTTCTTTGCTTCTTACTGTGTTCATTAAGTAGACTGGAAATCATAGGCAAAATGATGCTTTGACCTTTTACTTTCTCATTTAGGTGGTCTTAGTTCACTAAGATTTTGTTGCACCATCTAAAGTTTAACATATTTTTTTAGTGTTTTCCCTAAACTGTTTTGCTCTTGTATGGTTGAAATCACCCTGACTAGGGATAGAGCATAGGGTAGTAGCCCCTAACAGTATCTCACATTTATATAGCATTTATTTCCTCACAACTACCAAATAAGGTAGGTTGTGTAAATTTTATTTTTCTCATGTTACAAATGAAGTGACATGATTTGTCCCTAAGTCAGACAGCTTATAAATAGAATTACTGAAGACTTGAACTTGAGTCTTAGAGTTATAAGTCCAGTGCCCTTCCCAGGCTATAGAACAAAATGAGAAACAGACTAAAAAGAGCAGAGGCAAAGAAATCTTCCTTTGAGGAAAACCACTTTTTTATTTATTTGTTTATTTAATTAATTAATTTATTTATTTAATTATTCATTTAGATTCTGTCACTGACAATTCAATAATAAAACACAAATGATAATATTGACAAAAGAGGTCACTTCCCCAGCAGTGGATTTCAACATCTGCTCCTATTGCCACTATCACTAATGCCTCCATCTGCTTTTCTGCATGTAGTTGAGATAACTGAATGGTGTTTGGCAAAAAAGAAAAGAGAAACCCATTTTCTGTAGTGGTTGTTACTCAGATTAACACATCTGTCCATATTCTTCATGTGGTATTTAGCTTTTAATTATGGATTTCCCACATGGAGCCAACATGATCAGATGAAAAGTGAAAAACCTGGACATTAAGCTAGCTCCTTCATTGTATTATGCCAGATTCAATTGGACCAATTGTTTTACTGATTTGACCTAATGTATTGATGTTATATATACTTATCCTGGTTGAAAACAAATGATAGGATTACATTTTTCCAAAACCAAATGCATTATTTTTTCTCTTCTCTATATTGTCAGAAGTACTATTTGCATTTCATTTGACATGATTCAGCCTTAATTTCACTTTGCATTTATGGGCTGATGTCTCAGTTTGTGGCTGCATAATGTTAAAACAAATGGTTGATCAATATGCATTCAAAAATCTTCCAAATCAAAAAATAGGGTAATTGTGACATTATGTAAACAAAATAGATGCCAGTTGACTGAGCCAGCTTTAATATTTGTGGATGGTGAATTTTATGGTCCTTTTTATAATTTTATACACTGAGAAGCTTTTATATTGCCATGCATTGTTCAGTCTTGCTAGCTAATATTGATTAAAACATTCTGTCAGCTTTTTACCCTGAGATTACATAATACTATGTGAGATACTTAAAAAGAACATGTTGATTTTGGTGTCAGAATACTACTTGCCTCCTACTATCACAAACTCTCCTTTCACCATCTTCACTCAGTAACCTTTCCTCCCTTGAAATACATTCAAATCAAAATTTCCGTCCTATCAAAATTATGGTAACTGTAACACCCCACCCCCTGGGTGTCATTCTTCCTCCTTTAAGGAGTTCAGCACTTGACTCATCAACCATCTCTTGCTCCTACATTACAGAACTTTAATATCCGTGTGGATGCTCCCTCCTTTTCCAGTTTCCTAATCCTCCTTATGTCCCATGACCTCCTTCACACTGTACCTCAGCCACACATAGCAGTGGTTGCACACTTGATTTCACCATTACCCACAGGTATCACACTTTCCTAACATTCCCCTGTTTGACCATAACCTATCATTCCAACTTTCCCTAGGCTTAGTCCCTTCTATACCTCTTCTTTGCCCTCATTAAGACCTCCTTTACTAAACCTTTACTCTTGGGTATTTTCTCAGGCCATTTTCTTTGCTCTGATTTCACTTTTCCTCTCTCTCCAACCTCAATGCAATAGTTTGCCATTTCAGCTCTTCACTGTCTTCTGTTCTTGAACCTCTTACCCCTTTGTTCTTCCATTGCCAAACTTCAGGGCTGGATTATTCCCACCTGCCTCCACTCCTACTCACAAGCAGCTGAAAAAAAGCTGGAGGCAGTCTTCACACCCATTCTAACTGAGTACATTACAAATTCATTATCCAACTTCCACTGTGTCCTCTCTGCAGTAAAGTAATGCTTTTATTCCTCCTTCTCTATCTCATTCCACACAGAATTTGCTCCTAAACCTGTTCCCTCCTCAAGCTCCCATGTATCCCTCTTCTCTTTTAGCTGAGACCCCTCCTCTGACTTAACTGTGAGAATTAAGACCATGGGCTCTTCTTCCATTCTCATCTTAAAACCCCTAGACCAATGGTGTCAAATTCAAATAGAAAGAGGGCCACCAAACTCTACATAAGGCTGCAGGCTGCACATTGACTTAGAAAACCATATTAACATCTATGTTCTATTTTATTTTTATTTATTTTTAAAAAATATTTCCTAATTATGTTTTAATCTGGTGCATGCAGTCTGTGTTCATTTGACACCTTTCCCCTAGATGGCGTCTACCCTTCTCTCCTTTACTGAAGTTTCTGAATGGCCCTTCTCCTTGCCAAAGTCAGTCTCCTACTTGTGCACCTGATCCCATTCCTTGTATTTCATCCAGGAAATTGCATCCCCAGTCATCCCACTGAATCTCCCTCCCCTTGAATCTTTAGCTCTCTGTAGTCATTGCCTGTACTTCCTCTGTCACACCCCTCAAGCCTTTCTAATCTGGCTTCCAACTGCATCACTCAACTGAAACTGCTTTTTCCAGAATTACCAAATTCTGATGGTGTTATTTTAGTTTTGATCCTTCTCAATCTATCTGTCACATTTGAGATTGTTGTCCACCTTCTCCTCCCTTTCTGACTCTTCATTCTACTTTGCTGACTCATTTATATCATATTACATAATTGTGCATGTTCCCTTAAGGTTTTGTTCTAGGCTGTGTTCTCTTCTTCCCTTGTACTCCATCTTATCCATGGGCTTAACTAAATCTCTATGCCTCTGACTTCAAGATCTGACCCATTCTCTTGAGTTTTAGTCCCACTCGTTTTCTGTTGGTTATTTCAAACTAGATGTCCTAGAAATATATTAAGTTCAAGATGTCTAAAACTTGATTATCCATTATCTTGCTCCTATTCTAAACTTTCTTATGTCTGTGTTCGTAATTTAGGCATTATCTAAGATTTCTCACTCTTCTTCACCTCACACATCTAATCAGTTTCCAAATCTTGCTATTTCCACCTACATAACATCTCCTTCATCCAACACATTCACTCAGCTCACACAGCTATCACCTTAATTCAGGCCCTTGTCCCATCTTGCTTAGATTATTACACTTGCCTCCTAATTGCTCTCCCTATCTTGGGTTTCATAACTGCAGTACATCCTACACATTGCTGCCAAAAGTTATTTTCCTTACATGAAAATTTGACCATGTCACTTTAACTCCATTGTCTCTTTATTCTATCTAGGATAAAGTAACTAAAACATCCTCTTGGCTTTCAAAAACTCTTATAACCTGGACCCAACCTATGTCTCCCAAATGTCTGTTTGTTTAGGGTACTTTGTAGATTTTTGTACCTGTTAATGATATACTTATTATATGTATGATATACATACATACACACACATATACATATATTATTGTCATTTTCAGAAGGTAAATTCATTGTGAAGATATGGATTATTTCATTCTTTGTTTTTGTATCCCAAGTGCCTAACCCAGTGCCAAGACTTACTAAATAGTGAGTGATGCTTTTTTTCTTAAAGGTTTTAACTCCAAAGGAATTGAAGGCTGCTCAGACTTCTGTGGCTTTTGGCTGCATCAGATATGCTGATCTTTCCCACAACAGGATGAATGACTACATCTTCTCCTTTGACAAAATGCTAGATGACAGAGGAAATACAGCCGCTTACTTGCTATATGCCTTCACTAGGATAAGGTAAAGTAGAGAGTAAGGCAAATGACATAATTTTAAATAGGAAATCAACCTACAGACAACTCTACTGTTAGAAATGGAAGACACCATAGCAGTCAGTTCTGATTTTGCAAATGAGAAAACGGAGGCCTACAGCAGTTAAGGAGGGCACACATGCCAACCATATCTTTGTTTCTCACTAGGCTGCACTCCAGACTTCATCATTCCCCTGCAATGGGTACCCAAATTGCCCCCTCCCAATATACTCCACTGCTTTTCAGCTTCCTTTTAGTATTGTCTTTTCTTCCATCATTAAATAGTAAGTTCTTTGAGGGCAGACCATCTCTTTGCTTGTATTTGTATTCTCAGCATGTAGCTTAGTGCTTACTATAATTGATGTCAGAGCTGGGACTCAAATCCAAGTCTTCTGACTCTTAGTCTAGTGCTTTTATAACTGCATCTTGCAACCTCTTGATCTAAAATTCTATTTTAAAATACCCCTTGTTTCCTCTTTTAAAATATCCCTTGTTTCCTCTTTTAAAATAACTGTTTTCTTTTGACTCCTTGGATTTTGCCTTTATTTTCTGGACTACCTTCTCTAAAAGTTATTGCTTTAAATACCTCAGAATTAAATCTATTTAGAATTCCTATTTTAGTTTTATTTTAGCAAGTATTTCAGACCAGATCATTAGTGTTATGAATTGCATAGTAAATTAGTACAGCTGCTGTAATGCTCTAGAAAGAAGCACTTATTCTCCTTAACTGGCAGTAATGTGAGTGGCTAATGCGCTTTTCTTTATGCTTAAATTTGTAATAAAAAGAATGGTTATACATACCATAAATGAGCAGTGTTCACACAGTAATTTCCTTTCTAGATCTATTGCCCGATTGGCTAACATTGATGAAGAGATGTTGCAGAAAGCAGCTAAAGAAACTAACATCATTTTGGACCATGAGAAGGAATGGAAGCTAGGCCGGTGCATTTTACGTTTTCCTGAGATTTTGGAAAAGATTTTGGATGACTTGTTTCTCCACACACTCTGTGATTATCTGTATGAATTAGCAACCACTTTCACAGAATTCTATGATAGTTGTTACTGCGTGGAGAAAGATCGACAAACTGGTAAGTGTCTTTATCCTACTTTACAGCAGGATTTGGTGTGGAACATTCAATATGACATAAAGCATTCTCCGCAGAAAGTAATCATACTCATTAGACACCCTAGACCAGCTCCTGGAATGAATTCTTGACTTTGTTTATATTGAAAACAATATACTGAAGACTCATCATCAGTTTTGCTTCTACTCCATTCTTTTCTTCCTCTATAATAAAGTACATTAAATTCAAGTAGTTGTTTGTAAGACAACTATTAAACTACTAGGGAAAGTCTGGCTATTAATGATAAACTAACATTGGAAAGAAAAGGCAGGCTACCCTTTATGCCCTTGGGTTCCCTTAATTCCTAAGTATTACAAGCTAGATTGTGCAAACCAAAAATCACTTTTCCATAATCTTGGCCAAAGTACCTTTATATTTTAATATTACCTTTTTTCATAAGGAAAAATCAAAAGGAAACTTCTAAATTTCTGCTTACATTTAGAGCACAGAGGCACTTAAAGGACATTCTAGAAAGAACATATTCTTTAAAAAAAGACAAGAATTTAAGAATACCTCAAAAGACCAAGCTGTTGAAATTGACAATGCATTTTTAATCAATTAAAAAAATTAAAGTAGTACTATAGAGATAGTAATCTAAAAACTTTTATTTCAAAGTAAAAAAAATTTCTATCAGTTGATATGCCTGTCTCTTCTAATGTTAAAAGGCACGGACCATTGTTTATCTTAAGATTTGAATAATTAAAAAAAAAATGCCTTGTTTTTGTTTTCCACAGGTGAAATATTGAAGGTGAATATGTGGAGGATGTTACTGTGTGAAGCAACTGCCTCTGTCATGGCTAAAGGATTTGATATCCTGGGTATAAAACCTGTCCAGAAGATGTAATTAAGCCTGTGTTTGAGACATTTTGTATTTTTACAAAAATGGCCATTTAGCACTCTTCGCTTTTTTCTAATCATGTGGAGAAGATATTTTAAGAAATAAAGGAAAAAATGCAGCTTTCTCTATAAAAGGAGCATTTTTATTTCTAATAATATATTTTTAAGGGAATCATGGTCCACCCTTCCCAAAGTCCATTATTATTGCTAACCTGCTTGGCAATTAGCCACCCCCAACTTTAACCAATGGTGCCAGACACAGCCATTCCCTGATGTGGTGACAAAGGCAAGTCCAAATCTCGATAGTAAAATAAGAGAAAGATAGTGCTTCTTCATTTGTCTGGCTTTTCAATCTTCTACCCTTTGCAAATGTCCATTTCCTCCTTCCCAGGGAGGAAATGACTATAGTCTACTAGTAAGAATTGAAGAAAAATGATCTTCAGCACTTGCTTCATCAGTTTCACTATCATTCTTATCCTTCAGGCCTAAGGGGAAAATAACAGTCCAAAGAGACAGAAGGCAATGTGTGGATGTTAGTTTTGTTATCAGCTTTCAAATATTGTTTACAAAATCTTGTCCTCATTGCAGATACTCTTGAGATGTGTGTACATTTTCATGAAAATTTTATGTAGTTGGGAAAGTAGGGATTATGGGTTGTTAGTAATATTTGCACCCTTGCCTTTTCTCAGATAAGTTCTGAGATTTTCCACAACTTTAGATACTTTGTGAATCAGTCCTTTCATGATAACAGCTCCTACTCAAGTCTTACTCATCCATAAGTACCTCATGACTTCCTTTAAAACTCTTGCCTAGTTTTCTTTAAAATGATTTTGCCCTCCACTGCTTCTGTTTTATATTTTTCATTCTTTATAAGATTTTTCAAATAAGTTTATATTCTAAACAGTGTTGCCCTCAAGTGCCATATCTACCCTGGTAAAGTGTTTGCTGAGTAAAGTGCTTTTTAGTTTCCTGTCTTCTTGGTATGGCAATTTATATGTCGGCTACACTTCTGTATGAAATTATTTAAATCTACCCAACATTTAAAGAATGATTGATACCTCTTTTATGAAAATTATTCTCAGTAATTATGAAAGATTGCATTCTACCAAGCTCCTTTATGAGACAAGTGTGGTCCTGAAACCCAAACCAGGGAGGAATAAAGCAGAGTGTGAAATAAAAATCTCAGGAATGAATGTTGAAGCAAAAATTTTAGATAAAATCTTAGTGAAGAGACTAGCAATATAAGCCTTCCCTAACCCCCCCACCAAAAAAAGCACTATGTCTAAGCTGATTTTATACCAGAGATGGAAGAATGATTCAAAATTAGTAAAGCATTCAGCATGATTAATAATACATAAAAGAAAATAACCTTATGATTGCATCAACAGATACAGGGGTGGGGAAAAGCCTGATAAAAGCAGTTATTTATGTTTAATATTCTGAAAGTATAGGTATGGAAAAATGTTGGTATTACAATAACAGACCTTTGTTTCAGAGACAAGCTTAGGATCATCCAATAAATTTAGCCCAATCCTGTTCAGTTCTGGAGTGAACATCTAATTGTAGATTCTTAAGGCACATACATTGATTAGATAAACTCTGCCAGTGGTATGAAATGCAAATAGGAATGGATCTCTGCACAAATTGACTCTGATGTATTTTTATTTTGTTAAATATTTTCCAATTACGTTTTCATAAGATTTGCAATAGTTGTAAGCCTGACAACTCTGCTCAACAGCATGTCCTTTGGCTGTCCAATGCCAGCATCCAATGCCAGCCATGTCTTCCACATATAATTCCACAGAATTACACAAAATTCTTTGAAGTTATCTAGCAACTGAGAATCACAGGATTAGATTTTAAACTGGAAGGTACCTCACAGGACGTTTAATGGGTCCCTCCTTATTTTGCAGATGAGGAAACTAAGGCATCCTTCATCCATTTGGTTTTTCCTCTGTGGATAGTTGGGTCAAATTTTGGAATAGTGTTCCAGGCCTTGATTTAATGAACCCTGTGTCAACTGTAAACAGGTACATCGAGATGACTTCACCATCTATATGGAATCCTTCAACTTGTGTTCTATGCTGGCTCTCCTTTAAGATGGCAAATAAACATCTCCTCATTCAGCGATTAGAATCATTGAAGGCAGTATGGTATAGTGGGAGAAAACACTGTGGAGTCAAAGGAACAAAGCCTGATTCCAGATCCTGAGGCAACTAGGTAGCCTAGTGGATAGAAAGAATGCTGAGCCTGGAGTCAGGAAATACCAGAGTACAAATCTGGCCTCAGATACTGGGGTGCTATGAGAATCTGGGCAAGTCACTTAATCTCTACCTTAGTCCTCAACTATAAAATGGGGATACTATTAGCACCTACCTTGCAAATGAGATATTATGAGAATAAATGAGAAATGAGATAATATTTGTAAAGGCCAGTGCCTGGCACATAGTAGAGGCACTTAATAAATGCTTGTTTTTGTCTTCCCTCCCCCCCAAGTTAAACATTCACTACTATTGTGACCTTGGATAAAGAACATCCTCATACATGAAATAGAGGAGTGAGACTAGGTGGCCTCTTCTAGCCCCAAATCTATAATGGTCTTATAATTTTTAGCTCATAATTTTAAAAAATGCATTTAAAAGTCAGCCTTACCAGTACAAGATAGGGGAGATATGGTTTGATAGCGTTTCTGAAAAAATGATCAAGGAGTTTTAAAGGATTATTATCAGTGTTAAGTCAAAAGTGTCTTGTAGACCAAAAAGCCAACGCAATTTTGGGACACATTGAGAAAGCCATAGATAGCTTTCAGGAGCAGAATCCTCTGCACTTGTTTCTGGTTAGGTTTTCTCTGGAATATTGTGTTCAGTCCTGGGTGTCACAGTTTAAGCAGGACATTGAGGAGAGCTACTAGGATGGTGAAGGGCCTGGAGTCCAGGTCATGTGAGGCTCAGATAAAGGAACTGGAAATATTTAGCATAGGGAAGGACACTCAGGAGGACAAGATGGATGATTTCAAGTTTTTGAAATGCTGACATGTGGAAGAGGGATCAGATTTGTCCTGTTTAGCCCGAAGAGGGCAAAACCAGGGGGTGTGGTAGAAGTTGTTAAGAAGCAAATGTAGGCTGGATGTCAAGGAAAAACTAACAATTCAAACTGTTCCAAAATAGAATGGCTTTTCTTGTGTGGTAGTGGGTTTCTACACCCCACCCCCCTTCCCATTGGAGACTTTCCAGGAGTTAGATCACCACTTGGGAACGTTAAGTGAAGATTTCCTGCAGGGCATGGATTGAACCAATTGGCCAATGTGGTTCTTATCAACTTCAAATTCTGTGATTTCTGTTCCATATTCATAGAAGACACCTTATTAGCATCATTTTGCTCCCACATGATCAAATTTTTTTTGATAGTCAAGAAACAGCAAGCATTTCAGAATCTCATATTCCCTACATCTTCAGTAAACTGATGGTAAAGCTGATCTACTATGGAAAATCACTTTTAAAAGCCTTCCTATTCCTTTATAATACTTACATTGAGAATATTCTTCATGAACATTTAAATTATTCTCATAAAAATGTTGAATAAATTCAAAAGAATATGCCTCCATAATTATTGACTTTCTCTTGGTCATCACCTTTTGGTAATAACAAAGTCAATTTTTTTTCCATGCATGCCTTAGGTATTCCTACTCCCTCACCCAATCCCCCATATCTGGAGAAGTAATTCTTCAATACCCTTAAAATGCCTCCCACTGAGAGCTGGGCCTGAAATAAAAAAGACCCAAGTTCAAATATGGCCCTGGATCGTTTCTAGCTATGTGACCCTGGACAAGTCACTTTATCTCTGTTATCTCAGTTTCCTCAACTGTAAAACAGGAATAATAATAGCTCTTACCTTGTGAGTATCAAACAAGATATTGTCTGTAAAGCACATAGCACAGTATAAAACACTGAGCACATAATAAGCACTATGTAAATGCTAGCTGCTATTTATCATTATTATTTTCCATGTATAATTGATAAAATCTGTGTAATTTTCCCATCTTTGTTTCTCATACTGTTGTTTTTCACTTCTCACCATAAGCATAGCTTGGACCATGATGTTAAAAGTCCAAAAATGGTGGATCCACTGTCCTTCAGGAAGCAAAGAGTTTATTTTAAAAATCTTTACGGATCTTTTTCATCTTCATCTGTTGCTTTTTCTCCTTCCAGTTTCATCCTTCAGTGTTGTCAGGATGACTTTGCTTAGGTGCATTACTTAACCAAGCTTTCTTTAGCCTTCCCCATCCTGCCCCCCCCACCTCCCCTATTGCATCTCCTCCTCCGTAAGATATTATAAACTAGTTTCTATATGTTCAAAATCAGTAATGCCTTTGCCTACCAGCTATCTCATCTTTGAAAGTAATTCATATATTTGCTAAATAAGGTGTTATGACAATTGATTTATATCAGTTAAACTAATATATGAAATTGTCATAAATCAGTGTTGATATCTTTTTTTCCATCCGTTTCCCTTTTCAACATAAAAATTCCATGTTTAAATAGGTCAGGTTGGAGATCAGGTTATAATTACAAGTCATATCTTTTTTCATTTTTATTTTCCTGTAGATTTATATTAATTTTTATCTTTGTTTTAATACATTGGTGGTCTGGTTTACTCATTGTATTTGTATCCCAATTGATTATCTCACACAGGGCCTGGCACATAGAAGACACTTAATAAGTGTTTGCTAATTGATTGTTATTTTTTGTGATCATTCAGTATTTGCCTTGTCCAGCACCTCCTGTTCCTTTTCTCAAAAAGTGGAGTAGTAGAACTTCACATCCTGCTTTTACACCTTATTACCTATTTGACCTCAAGGAAATAATTAAGATTCACTTTCATCCTCTGTAAATAAGGGGATTAGACAAAATGACCTCTCAGGTTGTTTGCAGTTCTAAATTCTGTGATCCTCAAGTATTACATATAAGTGCAAGACTTAATGTGTAGTTAGGCAGCAAGGTGGTATAGTGGAGTCAGGAAGACCTGAATTCAAATCCTTCCTGAGAGAGGTACTGTGTCAGTCTGGGCAGGTCACTTAACCTCTCTGAGGCTCAGTTTCCTCATCTATAAAAAGGGATAGTAATAGCACATACTT